GTGTGTTTCGGATTGTTGTCTTGCTGAAAAACCCATTTTATTGGCATATTCCATTCAGCATGGGGTAACATAACATCTTTCAGGATATTTTTATACATGAAACGGTCTATTATTCCATCGATTTAATGTATTGGAACTAGACCGTGAGCAGAAAAACACCTTCAGACCATTACATTGTCTCCACCATGCTTCACGGTCTTATGGCAGTAACGTAAATCAAGGCGTTTTCCGGCCGGTCGACATTCACGGCAAATGCCATCGCTCCCGATGATTTTAAACTTCGATTCATCACTGAACAGGACAGTTCGCCATTTCTACACATTCCAGTCAATATGAGATGTAGCAAACAGGAGTCTTTTCTTCTGGTTCTTTAGTGAAATCGCGGTTTCTTTGCAGGGCGTCAAGAAAACAATCTGGCTTAACAACACGTTTGATTGTTTGGTCCTATACAGGCAGCTCTAATTGCTTTTGTATCTCGACTGATAATATTCAGGGATCCTTCTTGACGGATCTGACAATCATAGAATCCTCTCTAGAAATGGTGGAACGCGGTCTTCCACCTTTGTTATCTGTTGCCAACTTCCCGTAGAACGATATTTGGAACATAGTCTAGATACGGTCCATTTTTTCACACAATTTTTATCACATATACTTTTTTGTGACATTCCACTTACGTAATCGCCAATAATTTTCTTTCTAAGTTCTGATCCAAGACTGTCGGGAGCCATTTTTGCACTTGAAGTAATAAAAATAATAAAAATAAATAATCACGCTTCTCAAGGCTTACCGTGTTACATTTACCTTTTGATGATACAATAATGCTCTGTGGAACACAATGTCTTGGTTGGATGTGGACTGTATTGATATAATGAAACATTTTTGTATTTCACTTGTTGTATTTCACTTGTTGTATTTCCCAGATGCTTCTTCTGAAAACTTCTGGAAGCTTCTTCATTCTTCTGTATTCTTACTTTAATTATTAAAAAACTTCTGTGACGTTGACACAGACCAGACTTAAAAAAATGAAACAAACCAAAAAAGTTGCACTTGCTTTGTTCGCTGCTGTTTTTAAGACATGTAAAATTAGGAACACTTTTTAGCATTGTTCGATGTTGGTTGCAAATGTTTTGTCCAATACTATATATATATATATATATATATATATATATATATATATATATATATATATATATATATATATATATATATATATATATATATATATATATATATATATATGTATATATATATATATATATATATATATATATATATATATATATATATATATATATATATATATATATATATATATGTATATGTATATATATATATATATATATATATATATATATATATATATATATATATATATGTATATATATGTATATATATATATATATATACATATATATATATATATATATATATATATATATATATATATATATATATATATATATATATATATATATATATACATATATATATATATATATATATATATATATATATATATATATATATATATATATATATATATATATATATATGTATATGTATATATATGTATATATATATATATATATATATATATATATATATATATATATATATATATATATATATATATATATATATATATGTATATGTATATATATATATATATATATATATATATATATATATATATATATATATATATATATATATGTATATGTATATGTATATGTATATGTATATATATATATATATATATATATATATGTATATATATATATATATATATATATATATATATATATATATATATATATATATATATATATATATATATATATATATATATATAGTATTGGACAAAACATTTGTAACCAACATCGAACAATGCTAAAAAGTGTTCCTAATTTTACATATCTTAAAAACGGCAGCGGACAAAACAATTGCAACTTTTTTGGTTTGTTTCATTTTTTTAAGTCTGGTCTGTGTCAACGTCACAGAAGTTTTTTAATAATTAAAGTAAGAATACAGAAGCATGAAGAAGCTTCCAGAAGTTTTCAGAAATTATTATTTCTTAATAAAACATAAGCTTGCTTGAGAAGAATTTACTTTGACTTGATTTCTCTATTATTTTGTTTATTTTTCGCCAAATTATTTTTTGTCCGAATACCAATTTTGCAACAATTCTTGTTTCAAAGAAATTCTATTGTTTCTGAGCAAGTTTTTTTTGGATATCTAATAATGTCTTATAATCATTTATTAGAACGCTAACTTTACTCTATTTGCAACAGTAATATAAAAATATTTATTTAAAAAATAGCACAAAACTAAATATGGATAAAACCACCAGTTAATTCTCAGTTGACCCTCCGGTTCAGAAAAATATTAAGTTAACGCCACATTTACCTATTGACAGAGCAGACAATACAACTACAGCTGGAAAATATCTAAATAATGGTCGAATTATAAGGTTTCCTATTATAGATGATAGAGAGCAACTGCTAAGTTCAATACGTTAGAAAATATTTGATTACAAAAAACCTGGACATTAACCCTGCATTAAAGATAATAGACATTAACCCTGCATTAAAGATAATAGAAGAAGCTAAAAAAAGAAATCTCTCGAAAATTATTATAAAGTATTTAACCAGTGAGAAAATTGTAACAGCAAATACTTTTAGAACTGCATAAAAAGTTGCAAAACAGTATTTACGGGTTTCTGAAAATAAATTTTTTCTAGTATTATTTTTATCTTTAAAAGTGTAAATTTTTTTAAAATTTATGTTTTAAAATAAAATTGCTTTAGAGTTGCCTGATTCACCTTGAACCATACCTGTAAAACGTCAATACGTGTTTTATTTTCTGGGATTATTTTGATGTCTGACTCAATATAGTCAACTAGTTGGTATGATGAGCAACATGCTTACAATAGCCCCCTACATTAGAATTGAATTTAGAATAAATTAGTTCACAAGTACACTGCTACAAGTGTGTAAAAATTTTGTATTGTATATGTTTTGCAGATGCTGCAACATTTCTAATAAACAAGTTTATGGATGCGTTTACATTTTTTAAACATTTTTTTTAAAAAAGCGATAACCAAGAGTTTGATATTTTGAAGCTCCTCTTTTACAATTATCTACAGGTATAATTTCGTTAACAAGATAATCTTTGATAAAATTGTGAGTTATGTTTGACTAAAGTAAAATGTTTCTTGTTCAAGTTGAAATACTGTTATTTATAAAGTCCTCCTCATTGAAAGCAAAAAGTTCACCATGTTTAAGTTGACAAAAAACAGTTAGATGCCGAACAACAAAGAACAGAGAAGAACTAGCATCAGTTTTGTTTTCTAAATTAACATTTAAAGAACACTCCACTCTAGTGATATCTATTTCATAAAAAAAAATTATTTGGATTTAGATGAAATAGATTAGATTTAAATGAATACAACTACCACAATGCACTGCACATTTGACAATTTGGGAAGGTTCTATTACTTTTTTTTTTACATATAAAAAAGTTCGGCCACCTTTTTTACTTGAAAAAAGCACTATATATACACATATATATATATATATATATATATATATATATATATATATATATATATATATATATATATATATATACATGTATGTGTATATATATATGTATACAAATACATATACATATATATTTATATATGTATATGTATTTAGATAAATAATTAATTCAAAAATGAATAATATAAAAAATAAAATAAAATTTTTTAGTTATTTCAAACACAAAGTTTTTTTTTGAGGATATTTAGAACATATTAAGAGATAAAAAAAAAATTTTTTAATGAAAAATATTTATTCATTTTTTTAAAATTAATCATATATAAAATAAGGAACAAAAAAAAAGCTGCTCATAAGTTAAGCATCAGGGTTTAAAGTTGTTTTTAGGCTGAATCTACTAATACTGGTTCTCAGTTCAACACAGCCCAAACATTTCCAATTGAAGTCAAATCAGGTGATCTAGCTGGCCACTGAAGTACCTTGATATTGTTTTGCTTAAACCATTCTGTTACAGATTTTGCTTTATGGCATGGAGCATTGCCTTGTTGAAATCCACTCTGGCTTATTAACAAAAAAATGTATCTATGTTGGTCTATTTGACCATTGTATAACTTTTGTCAACCTGGGTCATCATATGTGATGCTGCCCCAAATACCAACTGCACCATCTCCACCTTCTAGCATAGGTACAGTACAGCGACTATTATTCTTTTGATTGTAGTGCCTATGGACTATTATTTTGTTTTTATGATTTGAGAATCTAGTGTAGCTAGATTGATCATCAAAAACAATTTTTCTCAATTTATATTTACTCATTTTTAACCACTTTGCAAAATTTAATTGGTATTAAATAGTTCATTTTAATAATGGTTTTCTGGCAGCAACATAGCACCACAGTTTATGGTCTATTAGCCTTATTTTTAAGAATAAATCCTAAATACTCAGCTTTGCTAAGTACTTAGGATTTTTTTTCTGGCACCATATGAAATTTACACAGTGTGAAATTTCATATAGTGAAACACACTTTAAAATTGGAGATATTTTAATGTTAAAGAGACCTCCCATGTTAAGGCCAATAATATGCTGCTTGATATCTTGACTTACTGTTTTTCTTCCAATAAAAAATTTGCAATTATTATTATTATAATAAAGTTTTTTTTAAAAAAAAAAAAAAAATTAATTCAAAACAAATTTTTAAAATACTACATATTACTTTATTAATTTTATCTGGTCTAGATAATTTATAAATAGAAGAAAATGCATTTTAAAGCTATATATATATATATATATATATATATATATATATATATATATATATATATATATATATATATATATATATATATATATATATATATATATATATATAAACAAATATATATATTTTGTATATATATATATATATATATTTATATATATACAAAAGTCTTACAAAAAAACCAATAAAAAAATAAATAATAACCTTTTAAAAGTTTTACTGCAACATTAACAGCATAATCCTCTTTAATATCAAGTGAAACATTGCTATACTTATAGTATGTCTTAAATCTTTTAGGAAGAATCTTATGACTTATTTTTGCAATAAAGACTGTGCCAAATGCACCTTCACCAACTTTTTCATTTAAAACAAAGTTTTCAGGAAAAATTTCCCAATCATCAACTGATAGTTTTTCAAAATCCATGTCAAACCTAAATAAAATTACCAGCACATATCATATCTTCGATGTGTATCAAAAAACCAATTTATATCAAATATTCAAATCCACCTTATTCCTCTAGTACTCAACCTGTTTGTTTACATAATGACCTTGTTTAACAAAGTTTGTGTTTTTGAGTTAAGGGTTGAATTTTGCAAAATGAAATTTAAAAAATAAAGTAAAATGACTTGATAAAAAATAATATTCTACTTTATTAACCTAATATTTTATCATAGTTCATAAATACTGAATAAATGAGTGGTGTATTGTTTTCTACTGAATACATTGATTTTGGATATTCAATCAAACAAAATAGCATAGTTTATATTTATCAATTTAAATGTTTGAATTATTTTTAATTTGTACTTTTAAAACAATTCGATTAAATACCTAAGATTTTTAAAACTAATGAGTAAATTGATTTGTGGATAAGCTATTTATTTTTTTGTTAGTAACAAAAAATATATTTGCTAAAACTTATTTAAATGAATTATAAAAAAGCAACTTAATCTTTTTTTTTTTTTTTTTTTTTTTTGTTATTCACCTCCTTAAGGCCGAGAAGGCCACTACAGACGAGGAGGCTACTTAATTGTGGTTATAACCCTCTCTCAACTCTATAACTCCGAAACACGAACCTTGACAAACAAGGCCGCTGCGCGGAGAAACAAGTTGAGTGCGGTACTACCAGGAATGTGGTGGGGATCGAACTCGGAACCTCTTGCTTATGAAGCGATTGTTTTACCACTACACCACTACCACATTATAATCTATAAGCATATAAAATAAAAACAACTTCATAAATGTCAAATAATTTTTTTAATAGTTCAGGCAAAAAACTCTTGCCAAATAAAACTAATTTTCACAGATGCACTTAACACTGATCACAGTTCAAGTATTCCATGCACCATTTAACTTGATTTGTAAGTGCAAAGCCAATTTTTTTTTAAATTACAACAACAACAACAACAATAACAACAACAACAACAACAACAACAACAAAAATAACAACTAAAACAATAAACTATTTATAATCCGATGTTCGTAGTTTCAATAAATTGAAATAATCTATAACAATCATTATAAACTAAATGATTAATTGTAAAGTAATGATTATATTTGAAGACCACAATAGAAAAAACGGCAAAGTCACATTTTTATAATTTTTCAGTTACGGCCCTTGGGTAATAAAGCATTGAAAAATGCTTGTTTTAAGCCAAGTTTCAAATGAAAAAACCGACATAGTCTATGGTAAAATGGAATAAGAAAATATGGTACACAATGGAAAAAACAGCAGTGTCCACCAGTGACAAGGAAAGAAACAGCAGAGTCCATATAATAACGTTATATGTGACTCTGCGGTTTTGATTTCCATTGTGATCTTCATATATTTAATTATTTGGGTTTAAAAAAGGGTCCATATAGGTCACATGACCTTTAGGGTTGCATGACCCTTTGGACCAATCAGTAAGCTGTAACCTTTTTTTTTTTTTTTTAAGTTTTTTTATTTATATATTTTATTTCACGTAATAAAATATATAAATAAATAAGACAATTTAAAAAAACAGACCGGGACTCAAAGAAGATATGGGTGATACAATACCACCACAATCTTTTCATAGAGCCCCTAGAAAAATAAAAAGTCGTCAAAAAGTTATAATAAACTGCAGATAAAAGTATGATGTAAAACTTCAAATTTAAATACTCAAGGGTTTAACATATAAAAACCAATGCATAAAATAACTACAAAAAATAAATGTACAATTAATATTTCAAAGAATAAAAAAGTAAAACTATTTTGATAAAACTTAAAAGAATTTTTGTAATTCCTCAGAATTAAAAATGTGTTTTTTTGCTTGCAACTTAAATGAGTTTAATGATTTTACCATATTATCTTTTTTAGCTTCTTTTTTTTGAAAATAGTTCCATATCTTTGGTCCCCGAAATGCTATTGAAAACTCTGTATACTTATTTAGTTTCTTAGGCAATTTAAAGAATTTTGATTGGTTTGTTCTAAGGAAATACTTTTCATTTATATTTTTTTTAAACTTACAATTAAAATTTACTGGAGTTAGGTTATTTGTAAACTTATACATGAAAATTAAGTGTTGATAAATATTTATTTTATAAATATTCATCATTTTCATGTCACACATTAATGGTTTAGTGTGCTCCCTTCTTTTTTTTCCGTATATAATTCTACACGCATGTTTTTGAACACTAAGTATTTTTTTAAGTTTTGTAGTTTGCGTGTTGCCCCATGTAATATTGGCATAACTAATAAAACAATGAATTAAGGAGAAATAAATTAATTTAAGACATATACTATTAACGTAAGGACGAACTCGGTACATCATGCCGATCGTTTTACTAACTTTTGATTGTAAATATTTAATATGGGGAAGCCAAGATAAGTGCTTGTCAACAAGTATCCCTAAGAACTTTATAGAGTCTTCCTGTTTTATTTCTTTATTATTTAAAAAAATATCTGGTAATTTGAGGGGAAGGTTTACTTCTTGCAACTTTTTATAAAATAATGTATACTTTGTTAATTAATAAACCCTGACGGTTTATTAATTACTGACAAAACATTGTACTTATATAACATGTCAAAAAAAGATTTTGTTTTTGGAAATTTCTGGTATGTTAGTTCGTTCAAATTTATATCACCAAGGATAAATAAATTTTTTTTCTCGTTGTTTGTTTTTAAAATACTTTTTTCGATAAAATCTTGAAATGATCTAATTTTACCACTAGGTGGTTGGTACACCCATCCAATTATACTATTTTTGTTTTTAGCATTAATTACTTGCACATTTTTCTATAATCCTTTCTTGTCTATATATTAATATTTTTCAATATTTAAAAAGAAATGTTGAAATTCATAAAGAGTGCTGTTATTCTCTGAACATGTATTTTTATAACTTTTTTTTAATTTTTTTTTCATTTTTTTTACTCACCCCAGGCCTGCCTCCTGTTGATGGACGAGGAAAGAATGGCAGTCATCACAAAATATCTGATGAACTGCGGCAGAGAATAAGAGACCACATCTCTTCGTTTAGGGGTTGGCAGTCTCATTACTCACAAGAGAAGACGAGACGGCTGTACCTGCCAGAAGAACTCAGCATCTCTAAGATGTTTGATTTATATCAAGAGAAGTGGCCAGGAGACAGTTTAGTGTATGAGTCATACAGGCTTATATTCAACAACGATTTTAACATTGGCTTTGGGTGCCCAAGAACCGACACTTGCTCAGCTTGCGACCAGTTCTTGGCAAAAATAGAAATTGCTACAAAGACTCTTGCATCAGACCCAACAAATGAAGTCCTCATAAGGGACATAACCTGAAGCAGTTAAAATTTCAAAAAGATCTCCACCAGCGAAAAGCTGACACATTCTACCGGAGAAAAAGAGACGCTAAGCGAAGGGCCAAGATTATACCTCATCTTGAGGCCTTTACGTTTGACTACCAAAAAAATCTCAACCTACCCAACAAGTCCACCAATGACTTTTATTACAACAGAAAGCTCACATACCAATCATTTAACATTCACCAACCATCAACTGATGATGTTTTTCTTTACTGCTATGATGAGACTGTCGCTAGGAAAGGTTCAGATGAGGTGGCTTCTTTCCTGTATGACCACATCACAACCAAGGTCAGCGAAGAGAACCTTGAACTATTCTGTGATTCTTGCTCTTTTTTTTGATTTTTAACAAGGATGAAGGTCCAGGGACCGTTTGTCACAGAGACTCATGGAACGGTATTTTCTTGAAAACAAACATCATTGTTCCAACGAGAGAAAACAATTTTTTAGTATGCACAGCAGTGCCAGTAGCTTTGTATGAAGACAGACTGGCTATATCAGTTGCAAAGTACAAAGACCTCCAAGTCCTCAAAAAATTTACCACCAATGAGGCATTCTATGATGCTCGGCCGTATGACGATAAAGTTGAAGATGAGGGTCAAGACCAGTGAATGTTCATGCATTTTTAATTTTTTTATTTGTTTAAAATAAAAAAATTTTAAAATTCAATGGTTTTATATAGTTATTTCTTATGTGTTACAATAGAAAAACAGGCAAAGTCCTAATCAACGGAAAAAACAGCAACAAAAAAAGAGTCCAATCTGAACACATTTTAAAAAAACAAAATTTTCCATGAGCTAACATGATTTTCAGAATATTTGTCAAAATTTGATGCTTAAATGGATGACCTTCCCTTAAAAATTAAAATAATTGACAGTTTCTCACATAATTGTGACTGCTGTTTTTTCCATTGTGTTCTTCATTTATTATAAACATGATAACATTTCATAACAATAAGTTAATGAATCAAAAAGGATGTAAAATGTAGGAATTTAATCAAAAGAATTAGACAAATAAAACATATGGAGAATACATAAAAATGAAACATATGGAGAATACATAAAAATGAAATATATGGAGCATACATAAAAATGAAACATATGAAGCACATGTAAAAATAAAACATATGGAGCATACATAAAAATAAAACATATGGAGCATACATAAAAATGAAACATATGGAGCATATGTAAAAATTAAACATATGGAGCATACGTAAAAATGTAACATATGGAACATACATAAAAATGAAACATATGGAGCATATATAAAAATGAAACATATGGAGCATGTGTAAAAATGAAACATATGGAGCATATGTAAAAATGAAACATATGGAGCATATGTAAAAACAAAACATATGGAGCATACATAAAAATGAAACATATGGAGCATACCTAAAAATGAAACATATGGAGCATACATAAAAAAGTAAACATTTAAAAATAATAATTTAAAGATAATGAGAAACATTAACACACAAAGAACTTATTTTTATTTAAGAACAATTTTAGTAACAGCAAATATAAGAAAATATATCTAATAATAAAAGGTAATAGTGTCAAAGACCTTAAAAAACTTTATTTAGAACAAATCTTTTAAATAAGGCAAAGATAAAGATGTTTGAAATTATAGTTTTTAAACTCAATTACAATATAAAAAACATGTTTGATTACAGATAAACAATGGTTAACATAGTACTGAGTTTTTAGATGCTACACTAAGCCATAATTTACATGAATGCCAACACTCTATATCACATTTTGCTCATTGTTAATTAAAATAGATTTGAAATTAAAATTTCTTTTTGGCTGTTTTTTTAAAAGTTTTTGCTATGTTTTGTTTGTTTGTTTTTGTGGGCTTTTTATTGTAATTATTATTTTTATTATCATTAGGCATTTACATTATTTTAACATTTTTTTTTCTTTACTTGATTGTAAAATTTTAGCTTATAATGATTCAGTCTAATACATTTTTATTTTTTATAAAAAAAAGTCCGGTCAGTCTCCTTAATTATATTGAACCCCTTCTGACTTTAGAAGATATCTAAAAGAAAAAAAAAGAAAATGAATGATGTCTATATAAACATCACTTACTCTTTTATGAAGGAATTAAATTGCTTTGATTTTTGACATTTTACTTTTTTCTTGTAAACTCTTAATGCAATAAAAACAGAGAGTATGGAGAGAAGAACTAAAAAAGTTACTAATACTGCGACAACCACTTCATTTCCTAAAAAAACAGAATTTATTAAAAATAAATGGTTTTTGGTATAAAGACTATATGAAACATATATCAAAAATATACTATATATATATATATATATATATATATATATATATATATATATATATATATATATATATATATATATATATATATATATATATATATATATATATGTATATATATATATACAGGCCTCGGCGGGAATAAATGAGTACAAGAGCAAAAAAAAAGCTCTCCTAAAACCAACTTGGCGAGCTGTGCAAGCTGCTCCTCATTTAAATTGGTGTTCTTTTTCAATTCTAATTTTTTTTTGCAACAACCATGTCTTTTAAAAAGCATTTCAGTATATTATGCAATTAATTTTTTCTAAATGACATTGTGTTTTTTATTTTATTTAAAATGATAGTTATAGCTTTATGAGAAAAATTATACTTTTGCAAGAGCCGTAAATAGCTCTCAAACCGTTCAGGGGAGTGTGGGCAAAAGCGAGAGCTAAATACATATATATATATATATATATATATATATATATATATATATATATATATATATTATATATATATATACATATATATATATATATATATATATATATATATATATATATATATATATATATATATATATATATATATATATATATATATATATATGTATACATATATATAAACATATATATAAACAATTATATAATACACAAAAATATAATACAATATATATAAAAAATTTCAAATGTATTCTATAAAATAGAATGCTCAATGTTCTTGTGAGAACGGGGCAACTAAAAATTAGTAGAAAATCACTTAGCAAAAAATTTTTTTCATTTAACACTGTGTTTTATCAATAAAGACTCATCAGAAAATCTGATGAGTCTTTATTGAGTCTTTACTTTCTGATGAGCCTTTATTAATGAAACACAGTGTTAAATGAAAAAAAATTTTGTCAAATGATTTTCTACTAATTTATATATATATATATATATATATATATATATATATATATATATATATATATATATATATATATATATATATATATATTGAAAATTTTACAGCACTGCGTTCCAGAATCTATTGTTTCTTAGCTGTTTTCTGAATATAAATCACATAATGCCTACACTACTTAAAAAAGATCTATTTTTAGAACTCAAAATTTATGCTGTTTGCAGTAATTGTTAATGAATTTCTTATTAACGATGTTTTAAACTCAAAGTTAAATCGATATATTTAAAAAGTGATTGATATCAAATAAGTTAGCTGAGTAAAAAAATATTTGATCACAAAAAACCTGCTGGACATCAAGCTACATTAAAGATGGTATAAGAAATGTTCATTTATGTAACTAGAATATTATCCATGCAATGAGATTTTTTTTTTTTTTTTTTTTTTTTAACATCTTCACTTCCAACAAGGCTGCAAGCAACCACTATAAGAGTTGGAAGTTACTGGAAGAGAAAAGACTAAATCTGTAGAGCAAGATAACGATTGACTGATGACTTAAAAGATTGCAAATTATATGAATCAGGAAAGCAAGATGAAGGAAGCGAATTCCAAAGAACTGATGTTCGAGGAAAAAAACTAGAAGAATAAGAGTTTTTGAAGCACTTAGGAACAGTCACAGAAAAAGGATGAGACTTAATTGAATGGCGAGTAACACGAGAATGAATTTTAGTAGATGGCACAAGGGACGCTAGCTCTTTAGAGCAGTGCCCATTATAGTATTTGTAGAAAAGAGAAAGAGAAGCAACATTACGACGAAGTGACAAAGGTTGGAGATTGGCTGCCAGAGCAGGTCCAACTATGTTTACAATTCGTTTTTGCACCTTGTCTAAAAGAGAAAGAGCATCATTAGAAGATCCGCCCCAGATGTGGCAACAGTATTCCATACAGGGACGGATTTGAGATTTATAGAGATAGAGAATAGAATCTGGAGTAAGAAAGTGTCGAGCTCGATAAAGAGATGCAACCTTAGCAGATGCTAATTTTGCAATGGATTTGATATACGGTTTAAAAGAAAGATCAGAAGTAAGAGTTAATCCTAGAAGATGAATGGTAGATGACTCATCTAGTACATTACCATTCATAAATATAGGAAGATCTAAATTATTACGATAACGATTGGCAGAATAAAATTGAGTTTTATCTGAATTAAAGTTCACCAGCCACTGTGAGCCCCATGCTGTAGCAGAAGTGAGATCCTTTTCAAGCTCAGATACCCCCTCCAAGCAATCAGAGAGTGTAGGCTTCTTATCATGACAAGAGTAAATGGTAGTGTCGTCAGCGAATAATGCCACCTTAGATGTGAGAATATCTGGAAGATCGTTAATGTAAATTAAAAAGAGTATAGGGCCAAGGATTGAACCTTGAGGAACCCCTGAAGTTACAGGATGTGAAGAAGAGTGTTGTCCATCGAGGACAACTTTTATACTACGATTGGAAAGAAAGGACTCAATAATCTTAAAGACGTTACCAGCTACACCATAAGAAGAAAGCTTATGGAGAAGACCAGCATGCCAAACTTTATCAAAAGCTTTAGAAATGTCAAGTGCGATAGCCTTAACCTCTCCACCTTTATCTAATGCACGGTAAAACCTATCGGTTATTACTGTTAGCACATCAGCTGTAGAACGAGAAGACCGAAATCCATATTGATGATCAGAAAGTAAGTTATTTGATTCAAGATGAGAGATTAAGTGTTTGTTGATTAAAGATTCAAAAACCTTGCTTATGACAGGAAGGAGACTAATGGGACGGTAGTTAGATGAATCAGATCGCTCTCCGGAATTTTTGAAAATAGGGATAACAGATGCTGCTTTCCAGCATGATGGAAAACAAGACTCTGATAAGCACTTGTTAAATAGTTTAGAAAGTATGGATGAAAGCTCCGGAGAACACCTCTGCAAGACTACAACAGGAATGTTGTCAGGACCACAAGCTGTTGAAGAGTCTAAGCAGGAAATTACTTTAGATACAGAAGCTGAAGTGATGCGAATGTCAAGCAAGGGATCAACCTGTTTGACGCCTATGTCAGGTAAAACACGACTGGTGGAATCAAGAGATGATATTGATGAAAAGTTCTTAGCGAACAATTCAGCTTTGTCTTTAGGTGAGGTGACAAAGTCTGAACCATACAAGAGAGAAGGAATAACAGATTTGCCCTTATTATTGATACTGTTAAAGATTCTCCAGAAGTCTCGAGAGCCTAATTTTTGTGATGAGATACGAGATTTAATGACCTGAGAATAGCGAGCTTTGGCGTCAGACAAAACCCTTTTACAATGGTTTCTGGCGATAGTGAACAGATGTCTGTTTTCTGGAGAATTGTTTTGCTGATAGATATGGAAGTAACGGTTTCGATTAGAAATTGCTGCAGCGCAATGTGAGGAAAACCAAGGAGAAGAGTGAGGCTTGACCTGGAATCGTCGAGAGGGAATAAAAGATTCCATGCCAGCCTGAATCCACGAAGTTATGTAAGAAGCACATTTGTCAGCAGGAAGACGAAAGATTTCTACCCAAGGGCCATCACGAAGAAAATCACGGAAAGAGTCCCAGTCAGCTTTAAGGTAGTTGTATGTGGTACGATGATAGGGGGATTCTGATGAAGTAGAAGAATTTGATAATAGTTTTAGAGAGATCAAACCGTGATCAGAAGTACCTAAGGGTGAATGTGAAGAAATTGAGCACTGACTAGGATCCAAAACAAGACATAAGTCGAGTAGAGAAGGTAAATGATTAGGGTTGTCTGGAAAACGAGTTGGAAAGTTGACTATTTGAGTTAGAGATTGAGAAAGGCAAAAGTTGAGGGCCTTAACGCCAGCAGAGTCACTGACACTAGAGCCAAGCCAATCGGTGTGATGGGCATTAAAGTCACCAACAACGACGATATTGGCCGATGGATAAAGAGAGAGGGCTTGGTCAATTTGATCAGAAATAACATCAAGAATAGTGCAATCTTGGGATGAAGGAGAGCGATATAGAACAAAGAGAAAGGCGATAGAGTGAAGTTGTGCTAAACGAAAGCACATAAATGAATAGTCTGTAGATTCAAACCTAGTTTCACGACAAATGGGTGAGTTCTTACGAATGTAGATGCCCAGGCCAAGCATGTGATTATTGGAGTCTTTACGAATTAAAGGAAGATAACCATCAACACTAAGATCACAAGATGGGACAGCCGAACTCAAATTAGTCTCACAAAGAGCAAGTAGGTCTGGTGAACTTTGCAAGAGATAAGACTCAACAGAAGAAAAGTTACTTCGAAGACCACGAATATTAGTAAATGATAGGTTTAGAGAACTTGGTGATGACGATGGTTTTTTGTGTTTTTTAGTTTTAGGTACTTTAGTCATTTTAAATTTATAAAGAACTTGACTCAAGCATAGATAGTACTCAGTACACTATTTAACAACTAAGCAATAGCCTCATTACTATTAATAAACCCTAAGCCGTAACAAAGGGCTCCAAATGTGGCCTCTGCAATGCACACCAAAAGTACAAACAGGGACACCATCCATGCGCAACATGGCACTGTTAGTACTCTGATATTTTTCGGCTGTTGATGGAATCAGCCTCTCTGAGAGCTACCACAGAGTTCGGGAAACCTGACTACCAGCCGGCCTCAGAACCATAAAACTGAGTTTTAGAGCTGTACCCTCATTAGGAGATAATAGAATGAGTTGCCCAGTCATAAAAATAGAGACACAAGCAATACCCACGCATTGAGTCAAGAAGATCCAGCGTTCAACATCCTAAACTGGAAACAATGTATTAAAAATACATCTGCGCCAGCCTAATAGGTGAGGAAGGGGTGCGAGGCTGGTCAACAGATAGAATCTGTTTACCCCTTAAGTCTTTGCCTAGGAGGCCTTCTACAAGACAGCAGCTGGATGCATGTAACATCTGCCCAAGATGAGTATTTTTATCGAGACACCATCTCTAGCCTTTACTCAACCAAGAGCCCCAAGGCAGGGGGTGTTTTAATTCGGAGTTAACTTCTCCTAGCCT